ATCTTTGATTCAAATTTTTGAATTAAAGTGACAGGTAGATAAATATGGCACTACTGCAAACATAACCATGTCAAAGTAACTAAACTAATAATGTGGAATAGCTGGGATCATTCCATGATAAGGTGTCAACCATGGAGTGTGTAAACAAGTTACTATATCGTAATAGATTTGTTTACGCATCGCCAGAAATGCGTAAACCAAGAAGTTTATACGTGACCGTAGAAAAATAATATGGTATGGGAACATCACTGCCTTCCGTGAAATGTTCTTCACATACATACACATTTTTTGTTATATTATGTATGTTTAAATCATTGTTGCCGGAGTTGTTCAACCAACTTAAGCATTGAGCCATCCTACGAGTCGGTTTGGGAAATGGATGATAGTGAAGATTAGCGCCCCTTAAGGATCGTTTCGTATTTAGACAATTTATATAAAAACATTTAGCCATACTTATTACAAATCTAAAAGAAAATTATGTGTTACAATGGTAGAAATGCTTATGTTACTATTTGTTTAATCTCGGTATGAGATCAAGATGATTTAAGGTAGACTGTAAGGCGGCACCCGTCACTGTGCCAGTATGTAGACTCGGAACCTTACACCCCAAATGAGTAAAACCAGCCTAAGCTATAATACTGATTTATTCACAATATTTACACGTTTATATACAATTTTTCCTCTAATGTTATTGTCCTAGTTCTACTATTTGTTTACTTGCCTCAGCGATACTATTACACTATTACGCCGGTCCGTGTGGCGCAGTTCAGTTAAAGCTGAACTGTGGTCCTAAGGGTCCCTGGTTCGAATCCGGGTATTTGTAAATGTACCCCGCCCACTCAAAAATAAAAGCAAAATAAAAATAAAATTTGCATGTTCATGCCTTACTCAATTGACCTGCTTTATATATCCATAACAATGATGTCTTAATACCTACTTATTCTATACGTTGATTACTTAATTAATATTCTGTTTAATTTCAGATTAATCTGTTATTGAACATTCTGCCGGCCGCAATGGTGTATGTACAGTTGACAACTGAACATCTTTCCCCGGCCGCGACGGCTGACTGGTACCTGGGGTGGCGTACAGTGGCACCATCATCTGTGATTCCTGAGCTCGTGCTGGAGTTTCCCTGTTCTTTTGAACTCGCCTTTTTAGTTTTCATATCGTGTAACATTACAGTAGTACTCAAACTGCTAGTTAAGATGGAATGTGAGGTAACCTTGGTCCATGATGCGTTACCTAGTTCCTCTTGTATCGACTCTTCTTCTTGCCTTAAGGTGTTGAGTTGATCTGTTGTCTTCAATATTGTTTCTTTTTGTATGGTGTCCATGGGTGGTTGTCGTTCTAATGCTGACGTAATGTTTATGTTTACTGCCCTGTGATAGCTTGTACTGTGTCTTGTTGGGTTAGATTTAGAATGCTTTGCTTTTAGAAAGCATTCTTGCGAGATTTGAATGATTCCCGTTTAATTCAGTGTTATGTCATGCCTGATTCAATTACATCTGACTGCTGCTTTGCTGACGTCTTTAGCGATGAACATCCATGTGTTAGGCATATACATCTGTTTCCAAATTGTCGCCTTGTCGTGCTGTTTTGTTATTCTCCACGTGTTCTCGGTGGTTCGTTGATAAAGTTGGTCTAGTATGCAGTTTGGATTTGTTCGATGTTGTTGACTACTGTCGGCGTGCAGATTTTTGTGTTTTTGAATTCTTCTTCACCAAACTGGAAGTATGATTGTGTGTTGTAATCAACTGCGATGACTCAGTTCCCAACCTCCATTACCCAATAAGTCTCGTTCTGCATCATTAATGGTATTGGAGTTACCTTTATTACTATGTACTGCGCGACTTCTGCCATTATAAAGTATCCTGATACATGAATTTGATGAGTGTCTTGCTTGATGGTCATCTTCCTTATTGGATGTGCTAATATTTCCACGTCCGATGGTAGTTTTTTAGATGCTGTTGCTATAAGTTCTTTGACATGTGCCTCTGTTATTACATCATTAAAGTTTCCTCGACCTCGACTTATGTCTAATAGTCTAGAGTACTAAGCATATACTTCGTCGATGAGGTTGATAGGTTCTGAGTATGTGTATGTCCATCTGATTTTCATCTATGGTTTTGTACCATTTTTCCATTTTGATGATTGCCTCTGTTTAGATTCTTCCTGAAGTTATCGAGTTGTTGATTAATTCTGGTCTCGATGTGGTTAAAGGTTGAAAGTGCTGACAGCATGAACTTTGTTTGAAGGTCGGTTATCTTCATTAGCTCCTGCTGATTTTTGTTGAGTGCGTTTATATCTTTGTAACTTCATCATTTACTCCAAAAATTGACGATAATAAGTTTCCTAATATTCCTCTTCTTTTCCTGGTGGGTGTTGGTTGCTTCCCGCCACCATTTTTCTAATGTTGATTGGCGCTCCGTTACTGCCCTTTCACAATCATGTTAATGTTAATGGTAATGTTAAGAGGTAATGGTAATGGTAACGCTGTTCACAATACTGTTAATGTTGATGGTAGAGGAAGTTCCCCCACTCAAAAGTGACAGTGTTTTGTGGTGGCGCTGGAGGGCGCAACGAAAAATAACAAATAACAAAAACCAGCAATTGCACACGAAAACAACAAGGCAAACGAGAAATTCAAACGAACTGCAGAGCTTAAATAAATATGACGCGATGGGTGACAGTTCACGCGGTCAGCAGTCAACACATGCGCATGCGCTGCATTTTACCGTAGCTGCAATTCTATTGGAGGCTGTTAACGCCGATGTTAGTAGATCCAGAAAATTTCTGGACCTTAACATTACCATCTTACGTTAACATTACCATTACCATCATTGTGAACGCTTTGCTTGTAATGCCATTATCTGGAGTTTAACATTCTAACATTACGTTACCATTACCATTAACATTAACATGATTGTGAAAGGGCAGTTATGTACGCCTGCGTCTTCCGAGATGACGACTCTTTTTTCATATTTGCGAGCATTTTCTCCATAGATTTGCCAATCTCACCCTGATTGGCCTCTAATCTGTTCATCTCTTCTGTTGTGTGATTGTAGAAATGAATAAATGCAATAATAAATAACTTCAACTTTATTTATACGTGTGCCTTAGTGGACTGTATCACTAAGAATGCCGAATCAGCCGAATGACAAGAATGTCACTTTCACTTAAAAACCAGTTTCTATATTTAAAAAATTCCTGTATACAATATAAAGGGGTGCTTGAAGGTCAGCAAGCCCGAAGGTAAGTACCCGAGAGGGAAAATCGGTTTAAAAAATACCTACATTATTTAACATCTTCCATTTTGGCTCCGGGTTTATTCTTTCCGGACATTCTGCTGTAGGATCTTTCCCTCTCGCAGTTTATCCGTTTGTGATGGTGTGGCTCCTTTCACAATCGGTTTTTCTTTCTCGACAATTGACGAAGATCTGGATCTGTTCCAAATATAGGTGCTGCAGTGTCACGTTGTGAGCGTCACACAACGATACCCGTGGGTCCCCTCTGACTCTTACAGCTGGACGGAAGTGGTACGGTTTGCTTCTTTCCGTGGCAGGAATCAGTTTCGCGCTGTTTTCCTTCTCTCTCCGTTTGCACGTTTTCTAAAACCATATAAATCTCTTACCCGCTGTTTCCTTTTTGTTACTTCTTTGCTATAAGGGTCGTAAATCCTTATAATTTGGGGTAGATTTCCGTGGTACTTCTCCTCGGCGACGCCGCTCCTTCTTTGTGGGCCTCGCAGACTTCTTGATAAATTTTTCTTACCCGCTACACCGTTTTCTTCTTAGGGGTCTCACAGGATCTTTGATTTTATGGGCGATGTTGACAGCTTCAATGGATGCTGACTCCTGCTAATTTTGCCGGCCTCGAAGATTTTCAATTACTTATCAATAATATTCTGTTTAATTTCAGATTAATCTGTGATTGAACATTATTACTTACATGAAGGGTAGTTGAAACACCAACAATTTTGTCTTGAAAAAGACAGATTTTTACGTGGATTGGGGGAATCGATGCAGCAGTGAAAGGTATAAGAAGGAATAGACAATGGAATATTAAGGCAAGGCACCAAGAATGGAAATTTGAGGTAAGCACAAGAATATAGGTAACAGATGAAAACAGGATAACAAACGGAAGTAAACAAGAAAGGCGCAAAAAAGTAAGGTTATGAGTGTTAAGAGGGAACTAGTCACAAAGTAATTTTGACATGTTCAAGTTGGTAGACATGCTGATAAGGACGGAAATGTGTAAAACTTTCCTCTCTCTCTCAAAAGTTGTAGCGAAGTTCCCTATTGAAATAATGGCTCCCCTAAAAATCGCTATATGCAACATATACTTACCTGACAGAAATTGGCAGCAGCATGAACTGCAGAATCTTGTATATCAAATACCATCCTCGTATCTGCTAATGAGACCTAGAAACAATAATAGATAATAACTGGTAGTATTAAATAACGATAGTCATACTCACCTGTGCCCGAGATCTGGAACTTTTTCGGCGATCGATCTTACCATATCTTCTCCACGCGTTGCAACACTATTCTCCTGGAAGGTATTAGATGATCTTCATCACGGCGACCATTTTCCAATTGATATCGAAACGCACACACGAGAAGCACCTGCAACACGTCCGATACGGTGGAAGATTTCGGAAGCTCGGAGGGATCCGCCAAAGAAGCCGTCTCGGGGATTTAGGGGCTCATTTTTTACTACGTTGTGATTTTCCAAAAATTCGACTATATCAGGATTATTAACGAGGTACGTCTTGAAGTCGCACTCCCACATTTCCACGAGATTGTATCCCGAGGCCCTAATTACGTGCTGACGTCGCCTCAGTTTTCTCACGGCGCATCCCCATCGTGTCCGTTTTGTCTCCATTCAATGCAGTCGTCTGGTCTGGATGGCATTTCTCGCAGCCGTGGTAATAACACCCGTGGAACTGATACACGATATTAGTTGATTCGGAGTATCCGTCGACAAGATCCCTTCCTTTAGGCGAACTTCCCGGTTGTTGCCAGCATGTTGAAGATCGAGGATTTTACAGCTTTGCCACAGCAGTAACCATTTAATGGCACTCTACTCTGGTTATCGGCTGCTCTGTAACCGCCGTGAGGGATGCGCCCTATGGTCTCTTTCTGGAGAAAGTTCCTTCGGAACACGAGGCTGCATGCGGCGGCAATGGTACAGCACTCTCTGAATGGGTCGACTTTGTTTTCGGTTACGAACTTGTGCCAAAATTCCACGTATGCCTGTCGTAAGATATTGACATCTTGGACGCAATACTGCACAATTTCCGATTGGAAATCGAAAACGGCTCCACGAGTCACTTCGGCGTTGTACCACTCAAGACAATCTTCCCAATTCTTCACTGACATCTCGTCACATCCGTAGAAATGGGGTACGGGCAGCGGTCCGACATAATCTTGATTAGGAAGAGTATTGAAGAAGTGGGGAAAGTAACCCTTGGAACCGGGGAAGTTGAAGTTTTTTGGGAAAGCACTTAATGGGATGGGTATAAAATTGAGACTGTCGATGAATCTGATGTTGTTATTGCAGGCAAGCGAAGTAATTTTTGTACCTGTCGCAATTATCTCAGAGTTCCAAGCAGAGGGAGTCTTCATCATCTCCTTCAAAATGAAAATACTGTCGTACCCTTTGCTGTTGTGCGCTATTGCCACCACTTCTCTGTTTTTCTTGGTCAACGAAGACACCAGACTTAAAAGTTCATTGACAGGGGATGTTTTAAATATATGTACACGAGGACCACAATTGTCACAAGGTATATTAATGTCCTTTGTTTATGCGGGCGGTAAACTTAATTTAAGTAAATTTGCGGAAATTATTACAAATAAATTTTTAACTCACACACACACAACGTGTTTGCGCTCTTACCTTTTGGGTTATACTTTCTGATAAGATGCAGTTCGGCGCGTAAAAGTACGCGCGCAATTTTAAACATACCGCCCACCGAAGGGCGCAGCCATTCAAATTGATAATTGGCGAAGAACTACACTTGAGTTAATGTTAATACACTCGCGAAAAAGTCATACACGCACTAAATGAGTCACTTATCAGTACGGTACGAACAAAACGCGTTATAATTCAACGTGACGCGAAAGAAGTAAGAAAAAGGAAATATGTACAATAGAAATAATAGTCATACAATACAATCTAAGGTAGCGGAACCAGCGTGGTAACCGCTCGGGTAAAATTTTTACCACCAATCTTCACATCGACGACGCGAATTACACCGTCCGTTCCAGGATGAAGGGCGGTTATAAGACCAACGGGCCAAGTGAGAGGCGAAGTGTTCAAGTTGCGAACGTAAACAAGTTGTCCAACGGTAAGGTTGGGCTGTGGACGTTTCCATTTGTTCCGTTGCATTAGAGTATTCAAGTAGTCTTTGGACCACTGTTCCCAAAAGTTGTAGGACATTTGCTGTACCAAACGCCATCGTGTAGGAGAACTCATGCTATTATCTGAGGGTGGCTCGGGCAATGAAGTCAAAGCGGTGCCAATCAAGAAGTGGCCTGGCGTGAGATAGTCCACTCCATCGATTGGGTCATTGCTGGGAGCAATGAGCGGTCGGCTGTTGAGAACAGCTTCAATGCGATGAAGGAGGGTAGAGAATTCTTCGATGGTAAGTATGGTATCACCCACTTGACGTACTAACAGCTTCTTGGCAGAATGAACGCAAGCTTCGTGGAGTCCACCAAAGTGTGGAGCGTACGCAGGATTGAAAGTCCATTCAATAGAAAGCGATGCAGCAGCGGTAACAAGCGTGTCTTGATTTTCATTTAAAAAGTGTATGCATTCGCGAAGAAGGCGATTGGCTTTTGGCTCCGACGAAATTGGTTCCACAATCACTGATGATGCGGTGCGGCAGTCCACGGCGCGAGACAAAGCGAGATAGAGCGGCGATAAAAGCATCAGTTGTCAAATTAGAGACGTATTCGAGGTGAACTGACTTCGTACTGGTACACACAAAGACACAGAGGTATGCCTTCAAAGAGCACTTAGTTCGGTGAGAACTTTCCTTAACGAGAAATGGTCCAGCAAAGTCGGTACAGGTTGTTGCGAAAGGTCGAGATGGGGTCACTCGACAGCGAGGCAGCGGAGCCATGAAGGGTTCAAGTGGCTTCCCACTTAAGCGATAACAAGTAGAGCACATACGAATACGTTGACGAAGAAGACTGCGTAGAGATGGAATCCAAAAGCGTCTTCGAATCATAGAGAGCGTAGTTTGTAGTCCCGAGTGTAACAAAAGGCGGTGATAATGATCACAAATGAGAGTTGCGAGAGGACTATTTTTGCTAATTAGCCAGGGATGTTTGGCACGAGGGCTGAGATTAGAGTTGTCCAAGCGTCCGCCCACCGTGAGGCAACCATCTTTGTCCAGCAGAGGTGACAACGATGTCAGCGACAAGGGAGGAAGTCTTCCGTTTTTCAAAGCGTATAAAGTTCCTTGGTATTCTTCTGACTGGCTAATTTTAATCGCTGTGAGAAGCGAATTATTGAGCTCAACAGCGGATAATGGTCCTTTGAGACGATCTGTAGCGGTTACGGTTCTGCGGTTGTGAATAAAGCGGTGAATTCGAGCAAGAATACGAGTCATTCGATAATAGCTTGTAAAACGTGATAAGATTGATTCCTTTGGTGACGAATCCGCACGTTGCGTGGTATAGGAATGAACAATGGCTGGTGTTAACTCCTCTAAACTGCGTGGCTGTTCAATTGGTAGATCGATAAAGGATGGTTGCCATCAAAGAGAATGATTTAATAATTCTGGAGGAGTCAGTCCACGAGACAAACAGTCTGCGGGATTGCGTTCGGTAGGAATGTGCGACCAAACTCCTACATTTAATTCTTGAATTTTGGCAATTCGATTGGCTTCAAAGATGGGTAGAGTATGTGGCGATTTGCGTAGCCAATCCAAGACAATAGTCGAGTCACTAAATAGGTAAGTTGACGAGAATGCATCTGGCGACATGGAGATAAGTGCTTGAGCAAGTTGTACAAGAATAAGAGCGGCGCAAAGTTCTAGACGGGGGATAGTTTGAGTGCGGAGCGGGGCAACCTTACTCTTAGCCAAAGCCATCAAAACTGCCAGCTTATAAGTAAGGTATTCCAAGGAGATATCATTATTCTTAAGAGTCCTTGTAAAAGCAAGAACTAAAGAAGAGTCCCATGTATTAATATATCTTGGTTTAATGGGTCTCAAATGGAAAACTCCCTTAAAAAATCTTTTAATTCCACTATCCTCTGCTACGTGAGAACCCAAAATCTGACTTAAAGCAGAGCGATAAGAGTTTAAGCTTCCATAAGAGACTCCCTTGTTATACAAAGAAACCAAAAAATTTAAAACTTCGGGTATATATGCTAAAAATACATTGATTTTGTTTTCCTTACAAAAACTCCACCATAATCTTAATCCTACCTCATATTGCTTAAGAGTGGACCTAGTGATAGATGCCAAACAGATGTCAGAAGCTGAACTTGGAACATTACCTAGTTGTAGTGCTTTCCTGATAAGACACCCACCACCAGGGAAAGATGCTTCCATAACGTGTGCGGTGCCAACCTGTCAATGGAAAGCAGTAAATCACTAGAAGGTCTAAGAATTAAAGGCTGAGTTACCAACATAGAGTAAAATACTGGATACCAAGACTGAGTAAGCCAATCAGGCACCACCACAATACGAGTAGCTTTGTCATTAATAATTTTATTTAGGGTTTTAAGAATGAGAATAAAAGGAGGAAAAGCATAAAAGTTCAAATTTTCCCAATTTAGTGTAAAGGCATCCACGTCGAAAGCTTCAGGATCTTTATGCCAGGAGACAAATTTTGTACATTTTCTGTTTATCCTACTTGCAAACAGGTCAATATCTGGTGCAAACAAAGTCTTACAATCCTATTAAAATATCTCTCATAAAGTTCCCACTCTATCTCAAAATTCAACTGACGGGATCCTAAATCAGCCTCTTTATTGTCTGAAGATTTTATGCAAGATGCAAAAATGAAAATGTCCCTTTCCTCACACCAGTCCCAGATATCCCTACACAGTTTATGTAATTTATTAAAGCGAAAACCCCCCATCTTATTTATAAAGGCAATAACAAAATTCTTATCTTCCTAAGGTTCTGGGCAAAACATCTGAGACCAAAAAAAGCTGCCTTTAGTTCCAAAAGATTTATTGGTAAGAGTTTTTCCTCTAAAGACCAAAACCCATGAGATGATTGACCGTTGCAAAAAACACCCCAGCCTGTCAAGGAAGCATCTGAAAAGATGACAAGATCAAAATTTTTGGACTTTCATTTATTTCTATATGTTGCACATTTGATAACAAATATAATTAAAACTTGTTTTGCTCTCATTTCTAGCTTCTATTTCAGAATAGTGAAGTGAGAAAGATAAACGCTATGAGTAAGAGAAAGAGATAGCGAATCAAATTAATCAGAGGAAATTCCCAAAAATCAAACACCAATTTTTAATTAATTAATCAAATCAAAACACCAATTCCCAGAAATTAATCAAATTTCCAAGAAATAACCCAAAAACACCCCCGCAACAATACAAATTAATGATAATCAAGTGACAAGTCAACCAGAGCAAACTGCTGAGCTTCTAGCAGACCAATTTCAAAAAGCTAGCAGTACGTCGATATAAGTCGATAAATCTAATTTAGATACACGTTGTAAGACAGCCTTTAATATCTTCAGAGTGCTAGCCAACTCCAAATGCGATGCTGAAACGGTTTCATGGAGGAGTTGTAAACAGCGTACAGTTTCTTTATCGACAACTGAACCTAATACATGGCACTAAGCGAGGCAGCAAAAGAAGCCATATACTTAAGAAACCTTTTATATGAAATAACAGGCAAATTGAATTGTATTAATAGTTCTAACGATAACCAAAGTTCTCAGAAGCTTAACAATCCCGTTTACCATGATACATTGAAGCATATTGACATAAGGTACCATTTCTTAAGAGATGCTTTAAGTGAAAATAAAATGGTAGCCGACATCTTGACCAAACCTTTACAGCGAGTAAACTCAAAATTTGTGAAGCGTTTAGTTAAGTTGTGCTTAAAGTTTTTTTTGTTTTATATTTGTGAACTTTTGTTAAGTGGGAGTGCTGGAAATGAGTACGAAAAGTTCAGGATTTAAAGTAGGTATATGATGTAGCGACATCTGTATATATTCTTTTTGTAACGAAGTTAGTTGAATAGATGACTCCGTCATGTAAAGAAGTAAAGTGTTTTTTTTTGGTCGATACGATTTATTACCCTGAATAATCTGCACATTATCCACTGCAAGTAAATCTACACTACATTTACCGCACTGTAATAACGTACACAAACGCATAAATATTTGTTCACGGAAATGTCTGTGAATTCGTCAAGAATTAATGAATAATGTGTGTTGGAGTTGTTAATATCATCGACTATGTCTTTTATTATTATTGACGGGGCCAAAACTTTTCGAATCACTTGGATGCACCTTGTCCTATGCATACGTAGATCACTATAAAACTGGTTTTCCAGATGTTTTTTAATAGTTCACATAGGTGATCCATTGTATTAAATGTGGTATGAACTGAAGTCACCTCGAGTTCATAAATCGCAATCGTGTAAAGTGAAGAGAAGCTGAGAACTGAAGACCAGCATTGCCAGGGGTGGTTTATGACAAGTCGCCAACCTGAAGTAAAAAAAAGTAACCAGAAATCACCACGTTATTTACATAATTTACTTCTACATCGAGTTTAATAACTTATATTTAAACTTACTACTAAAGGCCGTTTTACACTTGTGTAAATTTTTAACAACATTTGCATGTGAATGTTTATATTTTTTCGAAAAGTATGTCGTGGTCTAACAGAGAAGTGAGCTTTAATTGAGGAGGTGCAGAAATACCAATGCCTTTACGTTGTAAAATCAGCTAATTACAAAAATAAGCATAGCCGAAAAGAAGCCTTGGAAACAATTGTAAAAGCGTTGACCCCATTACGGCCCGAAGTTACGGGAAGTGACTTAAAATCTAAATTCAACGGCTTACAAAGCAACTTTTATTGTTAACACCGAAAAGTTGTTGCATCACAGAAGAGTGGAGCGGGCTCCGATGAACTTATTTAAAAGCTTTGTACGTAATAATGGCGAAACATGTATTAAAGTTTTCATCTATACTAGAATTTTTTGAAAACGATAACAAAGTAATTAGAAGGGGTGAAAATGCGGTTGAATCTGGTCATGTCCAATGTATGCAAGTGGATTTTGGATTAGGCTTAATTCAAGGAAATGTTCATGCTAGCATGAAGGACAAATTTTATAAAGTTGAGGTAAATACTTAATACGTAATTAACATCATGCTAATGTTCCCGTTTGTACAGATTTCTATCAATAAATCTGCCGATATTATTAAGGCAAGTTGTTCCTGTCCAAAAGGCATCAAATGCCATCACATTGCAGCACTTGCTATTTTTGGGCATTACAACATCTCAGTGACTGACAGAATGCTGTAAAAACAAAAGACGTAGTCCGAACTGCATCTGAGCTATACCCTAGCAAAAAATATTCTGCAATAGATCGGGACATGACCGAAACTGAATTGCAGGAGTTGCAAAAACGGCTAAATAATTTAGGCGATACAGTTGGTTTTACTTGGCTTTTAAAGGACGAACCTACCACTGCTGAAAGTATTACGGAATCGTTACCTCTACTCGAAGAAGTTATATTTTGTGAAGAATATCATGCTATGTCAGATAAAGTCTCATACTTAAAGCAGAAATCTATGTTGGCTAAATCGGTTGTACTGTCAGTTGCTAACTTAACTGTAGGTCAAGCTGAAAATGAAAAGTGGTACTTAGTTCGAAAGTATCGCTTAACCGCAAGCAACTTTGGATTAGTCTTAGCAGCCTGCAAGAGAAATAGATTTCCTCCGAGTTTGTTTAAAAGCTTATCAGGTAATGAGATTGGTGTGTGTATTACGTAAGTGTATGTATAATTTAACAATTGCAGGTGATTATAATTTGGACGGAGTCAAAGCCATTCAATGGGGTAAACAGCACGAGAAAATTGCTATACAACAATTTGAAAAAGCTACCGACTTAACAGTCTTATCTTCAGGAATATGGCTATCTACATCCGGAATTTTAGGAGCTAGCCCAGATGGAGATGACGCAATTGTCGAAGTAAAGTGTCCCTACACTTACCGAAATGATAAACTTTCTTCAGTTTTACGTAATGGCAAGGGTTATATTATATACTTTGAGAAGGGAACTATTGTTGTGAATCGGGAGCACAAATATTTTGATCAAATTCAGGGGTTGCTTCACATAATGCAGCGAAAAAAGTGTTATTTGTGTATCTGGACCACCAAAGAGTTGCTCATTGTAAATATAGACATTGATCTTGAGTGGGAAAATAATTTAAATATTTTAGAACATTTTTATTTTTACCAATATATACCAAAACTTTTGCAAAGTGTTCATTAACAAGTTTGGAATGCGTAATACATTAATTTTGTAGTAATTTGCAAAAATATTGTAAGAATTTGTATAATGAATAATGTACATATGGGTAGATCAGTTATTGTGTGAACATTAGGCTATACATTTACACTCGTTCATCTGTCCGTAATACAATAAGTTATAATTATCATATAAATGTAATCTAATCTTGCTATAAAGTCTTTTCCAATCTGCAAAAAAATCATAAAAGCTTGTCTAAAAGAAAAATGCTATTTCCGTGTATTCTGCAAGAATCGACAATTTTTGACCGATTTCTTCACAAGTTGGAACAAACCTATTAACAAGTACATTGTGCTATGCAATAAAATTTAAAAATTGTTTAAACAAAATATTCTTCCACTTCTTTAATAAGGGGATGTTGAAAATTTGTTAATGCAGCACATACTTGAAATATTATTGATATTTCAGAAGTGTAATATTGGGGTATACAAGTTAAAATTCTAAACCCTTTGATTCTGTATATAGACCTTTCAACATGTATTCGAGCCCTGGCAATCCTTTTATTTTCTATAACTTGACTCTCTGTAAATTGAGGCGTTGTCAAAAATGGGGGAATGTTCAAGCTGATACCTTTTGGTAACAGATCTTGTATTAAAAAACCCTTATCTGCTATAATAAGGTCACCAGGACACATATGATCCAATAAGCCACAATGTTGAACAATTTTTTTGTCTGAAACAGATCCCGGGTATGCATCACTCACATATGTTACGACACCATTAGGCGCTACACCAACGAGCACCTTCCAAGTATTGCGGTGTTTATAAGAACTGTATGTCAATCTCTGCTTCTCCATGTTCTTGGGAACTACTGAGTACACTTCGGTGCAGTCAATAATTATTCTGCACTCGACTGTCCGTCTTTTTCACTAGAAACACTATGTTACACGAGGGAAGTAATGCAAGATAGTAAAGTAGAGGGGGCAACTCGTTCTACTAAATAGAAACTGTTTCTATTACTCGACTGGAACACTTGCTGGAACGAGTACTAGAAACCAGTAATGGAATGGTTGTTTACACGATACTTACAGCACTCGGTTTTAGTGGCTCGCACGAGTTACTATTCTCGTGTAACTGAGGCTTAATGTAAACCAGCCTTATGTATCATGTCTTGCCGTATCGGTCTATCTCAGTCTTACGTCAGGACGCACTGCAAAATTCCATTTATTCCCAAAATTATGACCATATCACTATCTAATATAAAGAATTCGATAGTTAAAAGGCAATCAACGAAACGACAGTCGATTGACTTAATGCGCTAAGCCGTGCATTAATTAAAACAGTTAAATATGTGTCGCGCGCTTCATAAAGCAACAAGGATTCAGATGTAAATTTTCACACTATGATAATTACATTACGGGTGTTAATTTTAATCAGGGAGACCTATAACATTCAAATATAAACGGTAAAATAGTAGTTATTTGTGTTGTTGTGTTTATTGAAGGTAAATATCACAATATACGCACCTGCGTACAGAAACTAAGTTACGATTTTTCTAAATTTTCTTTTGAGATATACTGCCCAATCAGATTGATTTCGTCAACTTGGGAAAGTAAGCTAGGAGTATAAGAGTCCTTTTCCACATTCCCAACATTAGATAAACATTTCTCGTTTCGACCCAGGATGTAGCCACGTAGCCGGTATTTGAACTCCCATAGGATCTGGATTATCGTACAGTCCACCTTTAGCCCTCATAGTCCCAAAACGTCCTTCTAGGGAATTCTTGGAAATGATGATGCCTAAAATTGAAAGGACATAAGGGATTTTTTTCCTTTCACTCTCATGTTGGTAATTGTATTGGTCACGTTTTCCAAAATGTCTATGCGCAGCCGTATAGCACCTACAAATTCTCTGCGTTGTCTGTAACGATGCAGGTTACCATATTAGATAAAGACCACTCATTTACCACATCTTTCAACATTTCCGCTAGATTTTCAGAAGTGTGCGCTTTATCGTACTTACAGCAACCAAGCAGAAACGATTTCAAATCATTATCGCATATGTAATGCGCGGTGACAGTGAGGTGCTGGGCATATGCGCACTTCAGGAATTGTTGATATTGCGGATTCAAACAATTAATAACCTTTATTATAGCAATTGATTTACAACAAAAATGATTTTACAACAAGCGTCTAACGATGAACAAAACTAACTAACTTATATCTAATAGGAACCATCCTTTTAAACATCGGCCGTGAAGGGTAACGTTCCTGATACTGCACAGCGCACCCCATACTCATAATGAGTAACACATGTGCGTGTCAGATAACTGGTGTGAAAAGGACCGGTCACTTTCAGTCCTGTACAAAAGGGATAATTTTAAGCGGAACACAGTTTCACTTTTTAGAAAGCGAAAGTAAAAGTTCTCGCTACAACACCAATAAAACTTTCGTTTTCGATGAGGTCCAGCCGTCTGTAGCTAAACACACTGCTTTTCGCCTGGGCTTGTTGCCTGTTTCATAATATAATAATAACTTCTCAGAAACACAGCCACTTACCACAACTTGTAATTACAAACCCAAACGCAAAGCCAAAGAAACACTTACAAATGATTAACTAAAATTACGGAATTATTATAAATGATTTTTTTTGTTTGTTTCTTTCTTTCCTAATAGCGCTTGGGCTATGTGCCCCTCAATAGCTATGTTGGTATTTATGGAATTAACATACTTATCCTAGATTTCCAATGTCGTGTGTGATTTTTTTCTTTTTATGGACACATAACTTCACACAGTACACGACACTAATCGTTACTTGATTTCTTAATGCCGGCGTTAGTTAACCAGGCTAGACCTGAGTTCTCACAAGAAACACCGACCATAATAATAATGTTTATTTCAAATGAACACATTCAGTGCGATATGAGCTTGAACTAACATGGTATATGGACAAATACATAAGCACTCACACGCAAATCACTCCTCAGAACTTCCTAAACCAAAAATGTATGTTCAATACAGAAGCCCCTTAAGCCATAATAGAGAGTTGATCATCTAACAAAAGGATCTTTACTTGTCTTTTAAACATAGTCATACTTAAACTTCGTAAAGTTGAAAGTTGGTGACAATTTATTAAAGATGTTTGCAACATTATAAGGAAACGATTTTTTAAAGAATTCGCTAGTATGCATTGGAACCTCTAAAAGGCCCCTATTCCGAAGATTTAAGTTATGCACATCTGTACGATAGGTTAAACGTTGTGCTAAGTAGGAAGGGGTTAAAGTATTTATTACTTTGTGATATAGTACCACAGCATGAATCAATCTCCTTTCCATCATATTTAGCCACCCAGCTTCCCTCAATTTATATACAGGGTGATTCCTATAGTACCTGCCACCGTTTGGGAGCGTGTAGGTGGTGCGTAGGGGAGTATTTTGATATAGGACACTTGGGGTCGGAAATCTAAAATAAGGGTGCCAGAGCCAAATTTACTTTCTGGAATTTCGCGCCTGTAGGTAGGCAACCCAACCGGCCGGCGGTGCACACGGAGCGATCTCAGGCGGCGATGTGTGGCTGACACTTGAA